CGCTGTGGGTGCTGACAGATTTGTCGTGTGGGGGGGGGGGTAGTTGGTTAGGGGTTTAGTGTTCATGTTTTGTGTTTTTTTTTGGTGTTTGGGGGGTGGAGAACTTAGGTAAATCTCACCGAACTGTCTCAGGACAAGGTGGTTGAAAGGCGGGCAGTGCAAGCGAATAAGCGCCCGAGAGCTTCATGGTCAGAAGTCCCAAGCCTGATTCCTCAAACAGGAGCTAGGTTTTCAGGCTACAAAACCTCCTTTGAAGCTCTTTTGTATTAGAATCTTATTCTACACCCTTACCCAAGACTATTAAAAGACACAAAAAAACCTTTACATTCAAGCCCTTGATCAGGGTTGAGGGGACTAGGCGCCAGCCTGTGGTCGGCTGGCGCTCGTCTTTCCCGAAGTTGGCCGCAATGTTCGTTTGTATTGCCGCAAGCACTGCCGGGTCATAGTCCTGCCGGTCTAGCTGTCAGGTGCTTAAGGAGTTGGCCCTAAACCCGAAGCCCGAAACCCCAAACCCGATAAAGCCTAGACCTTAAACCTCGAGAACCTGGGAGTGTGCAAGGAAGATCGCTGGACCATACTGTTTCCAAAAAGACCCTCTCAGCTCAGAATGAAAAAATGTCAATAGCTGATGGCTCCCACATTCGAGAGGAAACGCAGTGTTTTGACGAGCGCCAGACCCTAAACGCCAAATGCAACAGGGGGAGGGGGGGGTTGATGGCTTGGGATTGGGTTGGCGACCTAGAGCTCTTGCAAGTTGCTGCTTTGCAGCGCTGTACCTACGGGAGCTGAACTGCCATGAATAAATTTGTGAAGAAACCCAAGGAAGTCACACTGGGCGTAAGATGAGCGCTCCACCGGGAAACTGATGGAAGCGCAGGCTAGCATCCCCCCAAACCCTAAACCCTAATTCGTAAACCCTAAACCCTAAATAATACTTTCCGTTTTCTTTTCCATTATCCCAAAAGAACCCCAATGGACTATAATCATCCCTATATACCGCCCAAACCCTAAACCCGGTACTGTAGTACTCCCCTACATAACCCCATTTCAGGCGTAGCGTAGGAGGCCAGCACGGAACCAGGGCATGGTGCGATCGCAATGTTTAGGATTGTACAAGCATGCTTCATTGGGGTAATATTAGGGTTACATTGGGGTTACAATGGAAAAGAGAGTGGAAACTGTAGGGATTTTAGGGTATATATTGGGGTATATTTTGATCCACGGAACCTCTGGAAACAGTGCCCGTCGAGGGCTCATCCACGTCAAAACTCAAAATCAACCCTGCGGATGAATGAAGGGCAACTACATGAAATCTTTTGTATTCGTACAAATAACCTGTTGCATTAGTAGAAAAAAAGAGCCGTAAAGTTTGTCCTAGCTGGATAATACGCAGCCTTCTTGACCACAATTATTTGAAGGGAAGCGCGCTTAATGTTCAATCGGACGAACACGGCTGCCAAGCAGTACGCTCAAGCCGAACCCCGGTCCGTCATCACTACCTCCGCTTCGGGGAGCAGCTTCCTGAGGAGGCTGATACTAGGAGTTTAGACCATAGGGTTTTAGGGCCCAAATACTATAATATTCCTGGTATTTGGGCCCTATACCCTATTATTTGGGTCCCTGGAACCTTATTCTATCATTTGGGCCAGGGTTTAGGGTTTAGGGATTATGTAGGGAGTATTATGGTCTATTGGGGTTATATTGAGATCATGGAAAAGAAAATGGAAACTACTTTTTAGGGTTTGGGAATTGGGGTTTAGGGTTTAGGGTTTAGGGGGATCCTATATTTCATTTGGGCCATTATTTCATTTGGGCCACTTCTGTGCTTGCATGCGGCGGTCACTGGGGCCACGATTCTTCGGAAAGAGTTTGCTATCGCATGAGTTGTGATGCAAGCAAGCAAGCACATGTAAACCATGCCAGGCTACAGCCCATGTCAACATCGGGGGGTTTATTAAAATTAGGGGTACCCTTTTAGGGGTCCCCATAACAGGGACTATAGTATTTTGGGGTCTATATTGGGGTCCCCTTATTTTGGGAAACTACCATCATGCGCATTTTCTCAGAGCGTGTACAGGACGATAGGAAGAAAGTGTATGTGACACCATTACCCTCCTTCGAGATCTAGCCCTTCCACCATACATGCGTGGGTCCTCAAAAGAGGGCGCAGACCCTTGGCACAAGCCTAGAAAAGCGGATCGTTTCGTGAGCAGTTATCGAGCTTGAGGACCCTCTGTAAATCCCCCAGAAACATGACCTACCTTGAAAAACACGTGCTGAAACGTCGAAATTCCAGGTGCCAGAAACACTTCAAACTGGTCCACGTCCTAGAACCTCACTGTGCACCGGTACCTGGACTCGAACCGAAACCCTGGTTCCACTTTGCTAAGGCCCTGATTCCTCAACTGCCGTAAACCACAAACATCAAACCCTAAGCCAGGCATCCTAAATCCTCCTACCTAAACCCAAATCCCTAAGGTTGATACATAAATCTTGCATGACCTTAGTATACTAGACCCCTGTCATTCGAAAAGTGTAATGTACCTAGGGTCATGGAGGATCTTTAGTTTCCCTAAGCCCTAACCAGTCTACTATCACTGGATCCGGTCTACGTCAACGTCTACAAGTTCTTTGTTAAACCCTACAAACCCATAACTTCGCGGAAGGCTCTGCGCTGTGAGACCAACAAGGCCCAGCCCGGCACCAACTTCCAGCACCCGGAGGCCTCGCGACAAGGTCTGAAAGCTCGCATTCTGGGGTTCAGGATGTATAGAGCTTAGGGTTTGGGGTTGCAGGTTGAGGGCTTAGGGCTCAGGGCTTCGGGTTGAGGGCTTAGGGTCTAAGGTTTAGGGTTTAGGATGTAGAGCTTAGGTTTTAGCGGCTTAGAGTCCCCTCCCCCCCAAGTTGTGAATATGCCACCCCTTGCAATAATCGCACTATGTTGGGAATACTCCCTTTGGCAGGTTTCATCTTTAGGGCTCCGAGGTCTGACTTTGAGATGAGGGCTTGGGGGTTTAAGGGGTTTAAGGGTTTAAGGGGTTTAAGGGGCTTAAGGGGTTTAAGGGTTTAGGGTTTAAGGTGTTAAGGGTGTGTATGGGTTTAGGGGTGCGGTTTGGGCTCCCTCAAAGTAATGATCCCCGCAACGTGTAGGGATGGAAGCCTCCTTCAGGATTGAGAGTCGAGTCGAGTGAGAGCGACCGCATCTGTAAGAATGATACCAACGGTTCAGGGACAGTTTCAGGTGGGTA